TGCATTATAAACACCATAAAGCTTAACTTTGAGGGTAGGGATAAGTTTTATAAAAAAAACTATAAATGCTAATAATGAGTAGAATCTTCATTAAACTTGACTCTACTCGAGATTGACACACAATCCTGTCTACCATTAAAATCAGACAATTCCCATCTAATTTTAATGGTTAAACTAATGGGTCTTTCCACCCTTTGATTTGACCATTAAAATTTTATAGAATCAATCCCTAATACACAAGCCTATGTACTAAATTTTAGGGACAAAAGGTACAGGAAATTTCTAAAATGTAAAATTCTTGGGGGGTCATTTTTGGACTGATCACCATACTTTCCATCTGTTATACAGTATGTGAGGTTGGGACCACACGCCCCCCGGACGGAAACCGGCTGTCGAGCTAAAGTCAATATATCAGTGACTTATTACATAAATAGGACCGGTGAAACCAAGGAACGGGGTCCGAGACAATTTAATTGTTGCATTCCAGATCTAATTGACAGATCCGCGATCGTCAATTGTGAGAATGAGCGAGGGATCGTCTGTCGGGGAAACTTTAGATGGTCACCTAACAGAGAGTTCAAAGCGGAACCTGCTGACACTCCTGTGAATGGGTGGCGGCTGGGACAGCTGCCTCCTCTCTAGGACAGAAAAATAGACATTAGGTAAAATTTACGGGTCCGTCATCCGGGAAAGGGCTTGACCCGACTTTGGAGGGGAACGGCCCGGATGGGGATATTTGGTAACCCCGCGGCCCGAATCACATCCCTGGCAACAAACCAGGGACGAATAGAATCGCAGGGGACCAACATTTAGACCAACCAAAATCTCAGGATTTTGGGAAGAATAATGTTATAAAAACCCGAGATCCCAAGGACATGGAGCAGTTGAGATCGAGAACGCCAGTTCCAGAGAACTGGACGAGGATCATCAAAAAGACCCACATCTCTGAAACCTAGGATGGAAGGAATGAGGGATCCAATTTCCCAGCAACAACTTTCCATCCTGCAACCTCCAAGACTATATCGGAAACGTACTATCTCCTCCAGTTGTTTGTGTTGTGTGTGACAACCTACAGCATCAAAAGGAACTATCCAGTGCGCCTTTCTTCTGTTTGGGACGCCCTTCGACCAGACGGCTGAAACATGATGTATCTGTAAGCATGTTTTAGTTCAAATAAACGCGTAGAATTTCGTAACTTCGGTCTCTGTGTGAGTCTCTTTGCATCCAGCAAACCACTACCCCCATACAAACAGGGCTTTCTCGTGTCATCCTGACAGATCACAGGAAAAGCGAGCGTGTTCTTCTTTAACTGAAAGGTCGACACTTCCTCACATTGGGGCCAACTACACCTCGCAGACCCACAAGTGGTGCTCACAGTGGTGTCTACAACTCCTCAACCCCACAAATATATAACAGAGCCAGGAAAATAAGTGATTCACAAAAAGGAAAAAAAAAAACATAGAACAATACTGATATTACTCATGATGATGTTTATAAATAATATATATAGATTTTAGGAAACCTGATAATGGCCTAAAGGAGTAATTATTAAACATTAGTTATTAAAAATATTCTCTCAGCAAGTGCATAGGTTTGGTCATAAACTTGTAATTCCTGCTACAGTTTTGACTGACACTTTAAACTGTTTTTTTACCTCATTTTTTTTTTTACTTCAGCAGTAGATTACCTTTTTTTGTCTGTCTGTTTGATTTAGACAAGCTTTAACCAACCTCTGTACCACTTTTTGTGGGACTCCCTGCATATGTGTTGCATCAATTATTAATCTGATTTCTTGTTTTCTGTGCTCATGGTAGGTTGAGTGTGTGACCACTCAATCTGAATGGAAATATGAAACTGGGAGAATATAATTAAACATGACAAAAATAAAGGAAGCAACATGATGTAAGAAAAGGGTGAAAAGTTAATACTTGAAGTGGCAGTGACACAAGGTTAATACTGCACAGGAGCAGTTTTATTTTTACAAATTTGGAATGAAAATATGTTGTTTTAAATAGAATGAATACTGTGGGAATAATTCTAGAATTATATGCTAAGAGTGTTAATCTCAATATAATTACCACTAAATGCATTCTGTGTATTACATATTCACAAATTAATTAAGTATTGGAAGATGAAATTTTCTATGAACACATTTTCAAATAATTTTTTTCATTTTATCCTAAGACTTTTTTCTTAGTTGTATTAAATAGATTCTGAACTTTCAAATAAATATTAATTACAAAACACTTAAAAATTGTATAATTTGACAATTTGCTTTAAAAATAAGTTGCATACTTTAATGCAAAATAATTACGATATTTAATAAACTTTCCTTTGCTATTCTACTGAACACACACATACAGTAGAGTCCCGTACAACGTTATGCATTATAGGAAATTGCGTTATCGAAACCTGCATTATCACACAATTTATGGCAGTTTAAACCTTGGCCTATAAGTTGAAAAAAATACATATACCTCTGACAAAATTTGAGGGTGTTGCTTGCTTTATTTGCACGTTGTACAAGACTCTACTGTATACACTATTTATGTACAGAACTATTCATAATGCCAGACCTAATTTTATTTATTAAGTACTGTACATGGCAGTGTTCAGAAGTAGCCTCAGCCAAGAATAATTCACTAAACTATACAGAAATTTTAACAAAAAAACTTATACAAAAATTTTAATAATTCACTATTTGAAAGATAGTAATCACAAGTAAAAAATGGCAAAAGACAGAAGCATTCTATGTTTGAGTTTGCAAAGACAAATTCCATTTTAATAGTTTAGTGCAGATTTCTGACTCAATTTAGAGTCTTTGTGCCATCAAAGCCATGCAATTTACTAGAATTATGCTCAAGAATTATCGCATCCACCAACAAAACTGGTATTTACACTCTATACTGGAGGGATGCTTTTAGCAAGATTTATGTATGGAGGCTGATAAGAGTCTCAAAAAAAATGTTAATTCCACAGTGTGATTTTGTTAGTTCCTGAAGTATGAAAAAGAATATAATAATATATATAAAAAATACTCTTCTGTTTTCTAAAAATATTTTTATATGTAACATGTTTCAGCCTTTATTGGGAGTGTTTCTTTTATAAAACTTCTAACTCTACTCTGAGTCTTATGTGAGATGGATTATTGCCTTAACATTTGTAGGATCACAGAAAGAAGCTACATGCAATATCTGTACTTATACACATGTACACTATATAAAATATCTAAAAATTTACTCTTTATCTACAGTGTTAGCAGTTACATTCATAAAGGTACAGAGTAAATGTAGATTTGTATTTTCTAATTCAGATCCCTTTAATATTATAGTTATGCTACTGAATCAATATATTTGTTATTCTTGTTCAATTGTTTCTGTTTATTCGTCTTGTAATCTTCTAAAGTAGTTTCAACAGGCAAAAGTAAGTTGTCATCTTTTGCATTAAGAATACATTTCTGACAACCATACCTCATACATATACAGGACAGTTATCAGAAGATATTTCTTTATGCTCCTGCTTAAACTGCTTTCATTTCCTTTAGAATTTCTGTATAATTCTAGAACATTCAATATCTCCACCTAGTTTTTATTATACTAAAATTTGTTTTCATTCTGAATTCATTTTACTTGTGTTAATTTGTATTTTATTTTTTAGTGGAGATCTCTCTGAAAGTCCAAAGTAGTCTGCAGCAAGTCAGCAAAACATGTCCAAAAATATATGGCCATAACCACATTGATCAAATTAAAAAAATAGCAAACAAAAGAATGAAACTTAACAGTATCTATACTAAACAACAATGGCTATTTGAAAGCAAATGAGAGATCCTAAAAAGACACTATTGTAACTGCTCTATCCAAAGAGTGTGTGGTCTAAAAGTAATGAATGAACAAAAGGACATTGGTCATTTAATCACAAAGAGCATTCATAATGAACTCAACTCAAACTTTTTTAAATACCATAACAAAAATCTGTATTAAATAACAACTCTACTATTTTTGAACAATCGATCCATCATCAAGAGATTCCCTATCAAATTAGTTCACTTTGTAAACAAGCTCCAATAAAACAGATTTTTGTTATTAATTAAAGAACATCCTGCTGGTGATTTTGTAATAAACTTGCAAATATTCTCAAATAATTTAAAAGTTATTTTATAATTTTAATTTTTGACTTTACTTGATTATTTTTTCACTAGTTAGAATGACACAAAGATGTGTTTCAGATGTAAGTCAAAATTAAAATTAATTACAAGATTACTTAAGATGAGAAAATTACTGTTGTTGAATCAGACCAAAGATTGTGCAAGTTATGTAAGATAGAGACAAGAAAAAAGATTGTTTTAATATAGGTTAAGGCATTGTTTGTTTATGGCATAAACCAATAATTATTCACAAAAAAACATTTAATGCATAAACTTTATGCATTAAATGTTTTTTGTGAATAATTATGATTGTAACANATTGTAGCGCCACATCACTAGCGGACATTTGAATTTGCCGACTAGAATGCGGTCAGTTAACTGAGGTGACGGTTAATCGGGGGTCGGATAATCGATGCTCTACTGTAATACATAAGTGTATTAAACATTGCAATGCCTGATAGTAATTTGCTACTAGAGATAGACATTAGGTACCATCTCTTAACTAAATTAATAATTATAATTTTAATAATTTATTAAATAATTACTCAAGCTATAACTCTGCTAATTATTTAAATTAGCAGAGTTATAGTCTGATTGTTTAAGGCAATCATTTTGTTATGTAATAATACATTAAACAAAATGTTACTAATGATACAATAAAACATTTATCATTATTATTATATTGCACAAAAGTGCTTTGTTTTCACTTATCTTTTATAGTTTTAAATACAACAAATTATTACTTAAATAATAACTCATTCAAATAATAATTTGTGGAAAGTCATTAATTTATTATTTAAGAAGTAATGAAAATCAAAAAGCATTTCAATTTTTAAATTAAAAATTCAAAAATTACCTTGTGATATTGGCTGGTTTGCAAATGTGAACATCCTCATGGCAATTGCAAAATCATCCAAATTATTTAAAAATTGACAAAAAGCTTTAAACTGTTCAAATGTTATTCCCTAAATTAAAAGTATTTAAATTAAAACTTTTACTTTACATTTTTAATTAATCATATAGTTTAAATTATTACTACACTGATCCCCCATGTTTGTGAATAATTGGGACCAAGTAATCCTTCATAAACATGGAATTCTTGAACTTTGAGTTCTATTTTCAATGTTAAATTTGTAATTTGATTCAAGACTTTATTGGAATGAATTACAATATTGCTGTTTTAAAAACTTTTCAGAAAATAAATGCTTTTATTAAATAAACATACTGTGCAATGGCTTATAGTGCTGTAAAAGTCATTTTATTTAAGCCAAATGAAAAGAAATGAACCAAACAGTAACATAACTTATGACAGACATCATACAAATGAGTGAGTGCAGTAATCTTTTAGCATTGCACCTGCTCAAACATCCAGTTTGTGTAGGTACCAACTTCAGTTTACAATAGTATGTACTCTCCCATTTCCCAAAAAGTTGAAACTTCTCATAAAAGTTGAAACTTTGGTGTATAAATTTCCAATCATGAATGATCAAATTTCTGAACACTTATGTTCACAAACATCGAGGATGTAGTGTATATTTATTCAAATAAAATTAAAATATATATACATATCTATTACTTATAGCAGAAAATTAAAATAATTTTCCAAATGTTGTCATCTCAAAATATATCCTAATAATACAATTTATATTACAAGACAAATCATTCATTATTATTTTACTTATATTTGTGTGTGTTTTACAAAATTAATCATATTTTCTCCTCTGTAAAAATTATCTAAAGAAATAATTATCAATTTATAATACAGTTGATTCCATTTAATGGGACACATTGGGACTTATCCATTTTGGCCCAATTAAGCAGCTGTCCCAATTAAACAAACTAATAATAAATTCTAAAATAAAATATGTAATACATAGGTAAATAAATAAGCAGGTAAAAAATAATAATTAGGTATAGTACCTATTTTAATGATTTATTAAACCAAAATACAGAAAATTTTTGTACTATAAATTTGCCAGACTCATGATGATAGATAACTGATTCACATCATGTTAGTGTTGCCAAATATTAATAGAGACATACACAGGGGTTGACCATTCGATCTGTTCTTGATTGAGTGATTTTTCCTTTCTCTCTTTTTAGTTAGAACATGTTCTAACTAAAAAGGGAAAAAGGAAAGGGTTCATCCAAAAGTCACCTTATGGTCATCTTTTGAGCACAATTTCCTTTACTTGGATATGGACCACTTCAGTGAGAGCATCCATAAAATCCACCAGCTTCAGATGCTGTGAATTCTATGCATCTATTATTATGATTCTATATCCAATGTATGGCAGAAATTTCAATCAGAAAAGTTACAGAACATCTCCCATGAGTGCTCTTCTGACAATCACTGGTCTCCCTCCAATAGACCTTCTCATCAAAGAGAAGATGTGGAGGTACTTTCTCCTCAATTCTGCAAACAACAACAATATCCACAATAATCTGAGGACTATACTTCCATCCAAGACTCTTCCTTTAAACATCAAAGAGCTTGACAACATAATCTCCATCAATGGTTTCGACAAGGCCAACAACCATTACCTTTTGCACCTGGCTATAATCATTACTGCCCAGTTCAACATGAACAAGGACAATATCCCCAACAATTTCAACATTTATATGGATGGTTCTAAGTCCAAGGAGGGTATGACTATATTGGCACCAACATCAGTTGGCTAAAAAGCAGGAGAATTATCATCATCACAGATAGTAAGGTGACTCTTCACCAGATCTGTAACAGGAACTTAAACCTCAAAATCATCAAGGACATCACCACCCTCTTAGTTAACCTGCAACAAAAGCTATCAATAAGTTTCTATTGAATAAAAGTGCAAATCAACTCACAAGGTTGGCTCCCAAAAGGCTCACCTCTCACTTATAACTCTCTGATCCCTACCTCTTGGATCACTAAACACTAAATCAATCAACAAACTGCCAAGGCATGGCAGGATGAGTGGGATACCAGTGAAACTGGTAAGCTCACTCGTCAGTTTCTCCCGAAGGTTACCTCCTCCTCCTCTCTCTGGCACCTGACCCCAACCTTCCACCTTACTCAGCTTATCACTGGACACGGGAACTTTAATGCATACCTGAGACAGTTCCTGGGTAGCAGTGATGGTAAATGCCTTCACTGTCCTCAGGAGGATGAAACTCCTATGCATGTCCTCTTCCATTGCCAGTGCTATGACAAACAGCACCTTGAACTAATGACCAGTGTCCTTAAAAATAATCATCCCTGGCCATGCCAGCCATTTCTTCTTCTAGAGAATAGACTGCTCTGAAAAATGTTTCTTCATCTCAACCATGGACAACTTTAAGAAGATCCATCATCCATCACAGAACAGCACAGAGTGATATTCATTTTAGTTCTGCAGATAACTCTGTCTTGCCGTATCCTCTCTGTAACACCACTTCTGTGGTGACCATTTAATTCAGGTATTAATTATAAAAGCACATTTCATTGTAAATAGCTACATTTAATTGTTCTCCTCTATGTGGGAAATTTTGTAATTTATATTTCTTTCCTACTAAACAGTACCCGGCATGGCACTTATGTATCTCACTTTCACTTCCTTCTTCATCTTTCTAGACTTCCTTTCCTCCCACCCTTCTCCTAACATCATTTCACCCACTATTTCTTCCTTACTTTAAGGCTATGCTATTGGTGCAGCCTGTTTACTTTTCCACCTGTACCTGTGATATGTCCCACTATGCTGACCCTCTCTGGAAAAGACCAAACTGTCCAAGTGAAAGACAAAATTGCTTTCTCTGCCAACCATTAGACCTACATGACATTAGTGTATGTAGTGTCAACATATTTTCGAAAGATCCCTAAAATATATCAAAAATTGCTAAATTCTTTTCTGCTACTGCCCCAATTAAGCATTTAAATTATATATTAATTTATTAGTTTGGTTTCCATTCTTTGAGATTTGGCCCAATAAAGCGGCTGCCCCATTTAACCAGTAACCCAATTAAACAGAATCAACTGTATATTATATACAATGATGGTTCATTATATTAAATTTAATAATTAAAATTTGAACATTATTACAACCACTTTTTTAAAGTCAATTTTAACATAATGTATCAAATGTTCTAAACTGCACATTTTATTAATACAATTAATTTAAAACAAGTTTTAAAATCAAAGTTAAAATGTACTGATATTATCAATGAGACAGAAATATCCTTCCTGAAATCAATAGGAAAGTCAAAAAATCAAGATAAACAATTTGACTTTTTCCAATTAACCTGTGATCACATGCAGTTTCTTTTAAACAATCACATATGTAAGGCAGCAATTTTCCACTGATTTTTCACATGTAATTACACTGCACATAAATGCCATGTTTTGCATTTGACAATTCTGAAAAATTGTATAATGTGTCTTCTCTGCACATGCCAAATTTCAACATCATACTTTACAAGTTATTTTTTTCAGAATGATGTCCCTGATAATGTTCCACATAATAATGTCCCACAGAGCTCCCTTCAAACTTTGAATAGTGTGAGCTAATGTGAAATGAGTACAGCTGGAAATAAATGACAGGAAAGCTGACATATTTCTCAGAAGGAGCAGAAAAAGATTTTCTGTACTTTCTGAGAAAGAAGCTACAAAAACATTTATATTGTTAAAGGTCATAATGTCCCAGGTTGTTTTACTGAAACAAGAATTCAAGGTCTTATGACTTACAGACTACAGTATGCACATCATTATGTCATGCATAACTGACAAACATCCATAATATTATAATTACCTCTTGTGTAAAAACCTCCACAATGTCATTTTTGGTGACCTAATGTCATCACCAAAAATAAAATTAGAGAAACAAACATGTATTATTATAACAACTTATGCATGCAATCACATGACAATAAAGATAAATCACAATCACACATGTAAGGCAGATTTTCTGAGTGCTTGTTATAAGCATAAAAAAATTTTTTTCACCAAAATTTTTGCACGCTTAGATGGACGTGATGGAAGCACAACTAAATAAGTCAATTTTGTGGAAAATGCTTACAAAAAACTAGCAGGTGCAGAAAATCACTGTTATTACATGTGATCATAAGTTAATATATTTTCAATTTCCAAAAAATATCCAAATTTAAATTTATATTTTACTTTTTCATCTGGTATTCTTTCTTGTACTCTTTGTATATAAGCTTCATAATCACTACTGTGAATATAAGTATATCTCAAAAGTATTTGAGCAAAATCTACTTCAGATATGGTTGGCATTCCTCGAGAAAATTCCGTAAATTCTAATTCAAGAACTTCTGTCTGGAGATTATCCATAAATCTATAATAAAAGAATATATGTGATTTCATGATCACTTACAATTGTAATTTTTAAACATATAGGAATTTTAAGTCATTTTTGAATAAAATAATATAAAAACATATATAACAAATTTTGATTTTAAAAAAGTTATTAAAAATAAAAAATGTTGACCCCTAAAAATATGGTAGCTACTGTTAGATTAGACCTTAAACATGGATATGGTATTCATTAGCTTATACTGAAAGTGTATAATAAGGACAATTGCTTTCATTGAGATGCCAATCAGAGTATCTTTGTATAAATGCTATATATATATATCCTTCTTTGCATATCTTTGCAGGATACAGATTATAGAATCTATAAAGAACATTTAAGCAATTGCTAAAAATCTTCACTATGTTGATAAGAACTTTATTGTACATATGTCTAATAATAAACACTTTCAAGCTAAAATGAATTCCTACAATAAAATATTCTACATTAATAGTTTACACAGAACAACACCAAGATAGTACTGTTACATACAATATGATAGTAGAACACTAACATTCTTTTGCCTTTGTGATAGAAACATGATCTACATAGGATCAACCAAATGCCCCCTCGTAACCCGGATCAAAGAGCATAAAGCAGATATTAACCATGAAAGAACCAATACAGCTCTGGCTGTATATTCTTCAGACCTGACATAGAACCCATATTCTCTCAAGCAAAGGTCATTCACACCACCCACCGCACGAACCATCTCAGATGGCTGGAAGTGCTCAACATATGCCTAAACACGTTTAAAGAATGTAATTGCATTAACTACAAGGATGAAATTACTCTATCGATGGTCTGGCAGGCCCTATTAGATAAATCTCTAGGATAGAACATATGCATAATGCGCGAGTCCGTAGTGATGCCATCGGGTCGGGACATCATTCCGGATTGTATTTCTTAACAATGTTGAACCACATTCCGTTAGGAGATTGTTACCTGAAGAAGAACCATAACAGTTCAAAAATGTTTGTATTGTAATTGTAGAGTGTGATGAAACACGCATGTAAAAGGTTTATAGATACGTGGTTGTGTTACAGTATTCCGGTGTAGATAGTCTACCATTATTCCAAATTTTTATTATTATGTTAATCTCTATGTTAAATAAGTTGTTAGACATAAGTTTTACTTGAAAATATCTGTAGTAGCATGCTGAAGTTATAAGTGTTACATAGCGGTGATTAGTACCAATATTCATTTGTTTACAATATGTAATACAACATGTAATAGTCAACTATTAAAATATGCATTTTAATAGTTGACTATTAATTATGAAGAAATTTTTCAGGCTTAAATAGTTAATTTAAACAGTAACTTTCTTTTTTATAAAAAGATATTAGATTATATTTCACATCCTTATGATGCAATATAGAAACACAATACATATTTTTATAACTTTATATAAACCTATATATTATATAAATTGAAGAATCTATATATACATAAGTGACAAAAATTATCACATTATTGAAAATTAATGTATTTAATCTAGCTACAATAATTTATACTAGTAATAGTCCAAAAATAAGTTTCTTGAGTCTGCTGTTAACAGGAATTTTTATTCTGAAGACCAAGTATATTATGGATAGTAAGAGGTATTTTTGACATAGTCATATCCTATATTGATGCATTTATCATTTGGGTTCTTGACCAAATAAATACAGATCTTAATAGGTAAAACAAATTTATTCTGTGCTCAAGTACAGAGAGTGTCAGCAGTACCATGCATGTGGTCAGACTGGCTGTCCGGGAGACAAAAGACTAAAACTAGGGGCACGGTAAGTGTTGCCAGGTTGGCCATATACTCCCTCCCCAGTGATAATGCTCAGGAACTTAGAAGGGAAACGTACAGTTCGTCCAGAACAAGTTGTCAGTGGGCAAGGTGGCTGGATTTGCATGGTCTCATCTGGTGGGTGGTCATTTCTATTCACAGGTCCATCGTCACTGTTGGAGAATGCGGAGGGTAGTTGCAACTTTCAGAAAAAAGTGGGTTTGAGGCGGTCGATTGAAACAGTTTGCTTCGCTCGAGGTGTATCTAAGTCAAAGTGTTTCTCTGAGCGTCGTAAGACACGGAAAGGGCCATCATAGATTGGTTGTAATGGTTTGCATGATGCACAAAGACATGTGAGGCAGTCATCAACTCAGGATGTAAAAATATATTTTTAGATGAGTGGTGGACATCTCTGACCAGGTGAATCAACCTCATATGATCCTTCAACCTGCAGATCAAGGTAGGAAAATTACTGGTGGGAGTAGTCTCATGGTCAGTGAAGAGATCAGAAGGCAGTGCAATGGGTTCGCTGTACGTGATCTCTGCTGCTGTAGTATTATAGTTGGGGACGACATAGGATCTTAGCCCCAAGAGGATGGTTGGGAGTTTAGCAACTCAATTATCAGTCAGCTGAGCTCTGTGAGGACTTGAGCAGATGATGCCACTGTTCAATTTTTCCGTTTGCGGCTGGGTGGTAAGCTGTTGTCTTAATGTGATTAATTCTCAGGGCTTTGGTGAGAACAGCAAAAAGTTGGCATTCAAACTGGTGACCCCTGTCAGTGGTTATAATACGTGGTATGTCAAAGTGTGCAATCCATGTAGAAAGGATTACATTGGCTATAGTCTCAGCTGAGATGTCAGCCACCAGTATGGCTTCTGGCCAACGTGAAAATCTATCTATGATTGTGACTAGATAAGTAAAACCTTGGCAAGATGACAAGGGGCCCACTATATCCACGTTTATGTGAAAAAAATGGCGATCGACTTGGCTGTAGGTCCCCACTGCACTGTCAGTGTGTCTTTCTACTTTAACTCTCTGACATGGGATGCAGGTTTTAGCCCACAATATGACATCTTTCCTCATTGATGGCCAAATAAAGCATTTGCTGACCAGATCCACTGAACCCCTCATTCCTGGATGTGTTAAACCATGTAGCGAGTAAAAAACTAGTTGATTAATCGCATTTTTAGGTCTGTGTAGGGCATGCATGTCAACGTTGGGATATTAGATCGGTGACCAATTTGGCTATTTCACAGTCAAGTGATCCTAGTACAGTCGATCCCCTATAACACTGTTGATAATTCCGTTTTATATGAATTCCATGTTGTACGAGTCACTTAGATTTTACAAATACGTGTGCCTGGCTGTGAACGGCTCACGTATTTGTAAAATCTAAGTGACTCATACAACATGGAATTCGTATAACACGGAATTATCTACAGTGTTATAGGGGGGTCTACTGTACATGATGGTATTTCATAACCTCTGTTGTGATATTAGAGACAGCGAATTGTGATTCCACCTGTGTAAACCATACTCTAACGTTCTTTCTCCAAAAGAGTGAATTTTCACCGATAATTGTGCTACCTTGACAGGGTCTTTGCTCTTGATCAGGACGGAAATATATAACTAATAAAAATACTCACAGAACTGGGTAAATAAGTTCTTGTGATCACATCCAGCTCACCACTTTGGGTTCTTGACCAAATAAATACAGATGTTAACAGGTAAAACAAATTTATTCTGGACTCAAGTACAGAGAGTGTCAGCAGTACCATGCACGTGGTCTGACTGGCTGTCCAGGAGACAAAAGACTAAAACTAGGGGCATGGTAAGTGTTGCCAGGTTGGCCACAATCATATTTCTTCACCAGGTTAAAGAGAAATCGCTAACATAGAAAACTGTACCCTGTAAATGGACAAAGTTTTGAAGGCTTCTTACATTTCTTCATTGCTGATGAAATGCTGTCCTACTAGTGCCTTGTTCAAAGCTAGGAAGGAAGTGGAAATTGTTGGGCATAAAGTAAGACAATAGAGGTTGGTGGTTGAGATGTTCCCAACTGAATTTGGTATCAAGGGATGCTGTCACTGCTGCATTGCCCTCAATTGTTATCAAGTGAATGACCTCTAAACTGAGAAGGCTTGATTTCTTTCACTGAATGGCAATTTCAGTCTTTTCAATATGTTACACCTATTGGCATTCAAAGTTCCACTTTTTAGGAAGTCCAGCAACTGCACGTCTTTGGCATAACAGAATATCATGAGAAGAATCTTGCCTACTGACTGAGTGACCTTAACATATTTTAAGAAGAATGATGTCCAATACTTGGTATTTTTATTCTGTAAGTGCATAGGCTGCAAAAATATGCATACTGGAAACAATACACCAAAAACTGCTATTTTAGATTTTTATCAAGTAATGTTGTTTTCTACAAAATTTTGCATATATTTTAATATTCTCACTCCTGAAAATGAGTTAACTTTTCTGGAGAGCTGGGGAGAAACAGCAATTATTATATTAATGCAGTTTCTTTCCAGACATGAAACTACAATTTGAATGAAGAAAAAGTTGATAGACTAATTCTATTCCTAAGTCAAACATGATTTCAACTTGCAAATTATAGCATTAATTATAATTTAAAGCTAAGTCACAGTATCAAAATTTCAGTATGAAATTTGGGTTGTAACATTATCTGAATTTGCATTTGTGGCAAATAACATGTACACTTTGTTTATAAATTTTTTAAACTAGTATCATTGTTTTTTGTTCTTTTTCAATATACCAGTTTTATTTCAATAATAGCCACAGTCATTATTTTAAACTACATATTTTCTCTGCAATTACTATTTGAGTTATTATTTCCTTTGCACATGCCCATTTGTGTCTGATATTAATAAAGTATTTTATGAAAGTTTGATTTTTAAAACAAACTATACTTTAAATAACAACTAGAGTATGCTTCTTTATAATTATTGTTACTTTCTATATACCAGTAATAAGAAAATAATTAAAAAGTACATCTACTGTATATAATATATTTCAAGCTTTAAGGATAAGATATGATTACAATTTGAGAGTGGTTATTATTTGGATAAAACTGGTAATGGCAGTCATGAAAATAAATAAATGCTGATATGCTAAACATGCATCTTGGATTTAAAGTTATTCCTCACTTAATGATTTACCTGCTTGGATTTAGTGCAAGAAATCCCCTTTCTCACTCTTAGTCTCATTTGCATAATCAGACAGTATTTGCTACAGAAAGCATTCACATTCTCCAAAGTGAATGTTTTGTTTATAAATTTGTACTTTATTGCACACCACATTTGAAGGATTTAATAACTAAAATATTAATCTGAATGTATTTTTTTTTTTATGAATGAATTTTAATTTTTTTGGTACATTATTCTTATAATTTTTGCTGATTGTATTTTTATTTAGTTTCCTTTAGACCAGTAATTCCCAAACTTTTTCGAGCCAATGCCCCCTTGGTTCTGTGAAGTTATATCCAATGCCCCCAACCATACCCCAATGCCCCCTAACCCATTTTCTCTTGTGTGAGAAAGGCTTGGAAATATTCTTAGAAAAACTTTTCTATGATACTCACACTTAGTATACACTGTCCTCCACATCTGAAATCATTAAATGCAATGTTTCTTCTTACCTGTTTTAACAGAGGAAAGAGAAAGATTGTCAGTGACCTCAACCTCCTCACCTATAGTTAGTGTTCAGTACTATGCAGTACTCCAGCATCCCCTGCCACCCACTTGCTTGTATTTTGCCCCCTTAGATTTACTCACTGCCTGCAAAGGGGCAGTAGCACCCACTTTGGGAACTACTGCTTTACCGTGTTTCCTCGAAAATAAGACATCCTCTGAAAATAAGACCTAGCATAGGTTTTGCTGAATTGCTAAATATAAGGCCTCCCCCCAAAAGTAAGACCTAGCAAAGTTTTTTTTTACTCGTAACGATCATTGACAGATGCTTGAAAGTGGCTGTTGGCTTTTTGAAAGTACAGCCACTGATTGGTCAGCAGACAATCACGCCACACAGCATGATTTGCATAAAACTATGGCTTGGGTATCACAGATTTGCATAATGTTACGGCTGGTGATGGCTAATTGGTCAGCTGGGAATCACGCCACATCACATTTGCATAGTGCTATGGTTCAATAAATACTAATTGGTCATCGAGCCTGATGTCGATGCTATAAAAAGGTTAAGTTGAAGAGAGAGTGGGAAGTCCACTCCAGCACGGGAACTTCGTAAGTTCACTTTGGTTTTATTTAAGTTCAATTCGACACGACCGGATATACGTCACTCTCATCTAAGTTTGACTTGGGAATTTTTTTGTTCAATAATAAATGTGAATTCTTCTTCATGGAAAAAATAAGACATTCCCTGAAAATAAGACCTAGCGCATCTTTCAGAGCAAAAATTAATATAAGACACTGTCTTATTTTCGGGGAAACACGTTAGATCTTTTCTTTATCCAGAATAAATAAAAATGATTAAGCTTCTTGTTTAATGACCAATTCACTTAACAACCTAGTCATAGGAATGGAACTCAGTCATTAAGTGAGGAGTGACCATAGTAAGCCACATTTATGACTCAAACAGAATTCTGGGATAACACTTCTCTCAAAGAATTATGAATTGGCATTTTTCAAGCATATGTATGAACTGCTAAGCAGTTTTGTCTAATGCAGATATTTAGCATATATAAAACCACTTCCATGGCAATGGAATTTGGCTTTTAAAATTTAGCAGTTGTGATGCCAAAAAATTTCAATTTATTCAGGTTATGTTATGCAAATGATATCCAAAATGTCTTCCATTTTCACATTAGACAGATTTTCTGCTTACTGTATAATAACAAAGCAAATCATTCCATTTCAAAGTTTTCTATTTAGACAGGTTTTCTTGTATAAGCTTATATTTCAATCTTTTCAAAAAATTTTAAAATAAATATACACAGGATTCAGCCATATTCTTAGCGTATTTTAAAACACCCATTGTATGTGAACAAATGCTATTTATTTACTACATTCAGCACCAAATAGTAGTCAAGTGAGTCAAGTGAGAGTGCCATTTGCCTATCTAGTTTTGAATATGACTCCTGAAACACTACACTATCTTCTAGAAACTGGAAGCTATTCATTACTTCTTGTAACATATCTCCAGGAATAGTGGTGATGACAACTCTGATATGGTCTTTCAATTCTAAACTGATGGCAGAACATATTTGGAAGACTCTTTGCTTCAGGTATCCCACAAAAGAAATCAATGGATAACAGATCCAGGAACTGGGACAGCCAAGGGATATATCACCATATCAAGAAATTACTTTTTACGGAAAGGCTTGTTGCAACAAATCCATGCAAATTCTTGCCATGTGCACTGTTGTGCTATCCTGCTGGGATCACAGTGTTTGTATCCATGTGTGCATATGTAATTAAGGAAGCAAGAAGTCTTGCAGCATCATGAAATAACAATAACTATTAATATTAACATTCACAGTGTGGCCCTCATTATTCTCAAAAAACAAGGCCTGATTATTTATTCCAATGACAGCAACTCGACACTGTGACATGCACTGTGCAGTTCTGTAAATTTACATAATTCCAGTAACACATATTTCACTCAAAGTGAGCTTCATCAAACGTTATCAATGACTGTACCTTTTTTGGATTCTGTAGAAGTAGATCGTGCAAAATTGTTTGCATGCATTCAAATATTGGACCTTAAGTTCTGTCATTACTTGCAGTTTATAAGGCTGAAAGCAAAGATCCTGATGCAAGATTTTCCTGAATAAGTGATCTGAAATTTACAAAGCTATAGCATGTCTCTGAGTAAATTTACTTTGGACAAAAAACTAGCACAAGTAAACTGGAACTACTGTATATACTAAACACAAAAATTCACACCTAAATGCTAATTCCAGCAGTAATTGAACAAAAATTTTAATGTTTGAATGTTTTCAGCTGTCTTTTAGAGGTCCTCCTCAGGAATGTATGAAACACACAAAAAAACAGTTCTATCATTTGAAAACTTCTAACCGTCAAATACAGCTGTGTTCCAAATTTTTGTTCAATTACTGCTGGAATTAGCATTTAGGTGAGAATTTTTGTGTTTAAATTTACTTTGACTCAAAGAAGACAAAAGTTGCAGTATTAGAAGGCAAAGTAATGATTATCATCATCATTGATTACCAAGAAATAGTATACAAATATGTGCCATTGCATAGAGCAATCATCAACAGTACTACCTGTCAGTTCTGCACACACTATTGAATCACATCGACAAGAAATGCCCCAATCTCCATGCCAACGGTTGACAGCTGCAGTCCCAAACATTGCTAATGTGATGATTGAGTTTTTGGTCAAGAACATCCCATATGTATTTATATATAGCCCAGATTTGGCATCCTATTCCTATTCCCAGCACTGAAGTTAAAGTCACAGGAAATCCATTTCCCATCCATATTATCAGTGGTCAAAGCATCAGAGGCAATTCTGATGAATCATTCTTCAGAATGCCTGAAAAAATTGACTTATAATACATCTTCAAAGACTGTGCAGAAATGGTAACAGAAGTGCATCAAATTCCATGAAAAATATTTTTAAAAAAAACACACTCACTATGCCCTTAGAATGATTATCATGTGAGAAAAAAATCAGTCTCTATTTGTTTTGACTTTGCCTTTTTTGGTAAAATTGTCCTTCACATCCAAAGGCAATTTTTGCATTTGATTCCTAGTGACACATTCAATGTGTCATCCCCAAACAAGGAATTAAATAGCCAAAATGGGTTAGGATTTAAACATTTAAATTAATATTTAACCTGTAAAAGTCTCTGAAGCTGAGATCTTCATTTCCTTTACGGCCAAACAGATGGATAAGAAGAGTCGTGTCATCCATGTCAGAAATATCAAGTGCCTCATCCTACAATTAATTTAGTTAATGATAAACATTAAAATTGATAGAGCAACAATATGATAAAGATAAATACATACCAAATACAATGCAAAAAATTTCTTGTTATGATTAACTTAATTAACTAATGGTCGGCAAATTAAAACTAAAATAAAACTTCCATATTTTAATTATAATAAATACAGTAGAGCGTCGATTATCCGAAAGTCAATCATCCGAAAGAATTCAATTCAGCACTTCAAACAACCTTTACAGCTCCAGTGGTATGTGTTTACACCTTAGCAAACGTTTTCAACCTCATCGAGGTCTTCATCAGGCTACTTTAATTAGGAATTCGAATGCATTTGGAACGGAATGTATACGATTCAAAATTTATAAACAGATTTAAGAATTCTTAAATCTGTTTATAAATTTTGAACATAACGCGTAACATCGATGAAAATTCAACACGAAGAGACACGCAACGGAGAAAAATGTCAAGATGGGACAAATTAATATATTTTTTCGTATATAATCGATTATCCGAAACATCGATCTTCCGAACAACCCCAGTCCCCAATTGATTCAGATAATCGACGCTCTACTGTATATCAAAGTATGAATTTGAACTATACAGGTGTACCCCAGGTTATGTACATAATGCATACCATCTAGTGGTTGTATTGTGAATGGTTGTATTGTAAATTATCCATTTCCCATACATTTACATACATTTTATTTTAATTCATACATATGTCTTAAATTGAATTTTAAATAAATGCATATAACATCAATAAACAAATAAGATACAACTGTGACAATGCACAAAGCGCCCCCTATGCTTCAACACTACGGGACCAAAAGGTCGACACCACATTGCAATGACAAGTTTGTCAGGACTGACACCACTGTGTCTTTAAGGTATACACAGAAACCTAAATGGCTGCAATTTCTGTCTTGTTCGCATGAGCCATCACATTTGTAGGTGCTTGGACTCGGGATGGAGACCAATTAAGCTAAAGAAGTGCACTTTACAATTCGATTATAGAAAATAATACCTGTTTGTTGATTATATAAACTAATTACACATATGCTTTAAGCGAAAGAGAGTTTACAAATGTTCGCACGTGGTATTTACCTGAAGAGCGCTCTCTTGATTTGGGTCTTTTTTCGATGGAGACATGTCCTTGGTGGGTACTTGGGGTCATTGGCTATCAGTGGTTAAGCTTCTGATCACTGGCTATTGAAGGAGCATCGGCAGTGAAGTGTATCCGAGTGTACACACACGAACAACCTTCGAGGATGGAAAAACTCTCCTGTCGGGCCATCAGACCTTTTCCCTTATTTAGGGGTCCTCCCCCTCGCAACGCTTGTCCTTTTTTGGTAAAATCGTCCTTCACGTCCAATGCCGATTTTTGCATTTGATTCCTAGTGACACATTCGATGTGTCACCTCCAAACAAGGAAGCAAGTCCGTGGAAAAGGATATAATCATATCCATAGCAATCTTTTTTTTTCCGAAAAATTTTTTGAATAAAATTTTCCTGTCAAGTCCAGCCTCTACATAACTAAAAGCTTGGATGTAACTTACATATATGTATTTTACAACAGATTTACATAACTTTGCATATTTATAGAAGACACAGTTCCATACATATTTTATTTCGATAGTGATTTAATAACTCCTGTGCTTTTTGTTGAAAATTTCTGAAATCTTGCAGGGTGGTTTAGTTATTAAGGGGATTGATGTTATTAAATTTTGGTGATTAAAGGTCAAGAGAATGGGGAGATAAAAGGGGTTCTGTGTATCTCCAGTAAGGTTGAATTTAATGGTAATTTTACTCATTATTAGCATTTACAATTTTTTAAAAACCTGTCCCTACCCTGAAAATTAAACTTTTTGTCATTTTATTAGAGTTAAAAATATAAAAGTTTCAAAAATAAAATATCGTAACAGAAGGCACCACTAAATGTTGCCAGGAAAGTTAAGCAACTTGTTGCTGGATTTTTATTTTAAATTAATGCAATCCCTTTAATTTCCAATGTTTTGAATGGTGTTGGATCAATGTCTGTGTCTTCATCAGTCATCCTTAGAATATTTTCTTCATGTAGGATCTTTATCAATTGTGCATTTACTAATTTTTCCTCATGGGTTTCAATGAGCTGTTCAATTTCTAAATTCAATCTCCTCTCCTGTTGAAAAACTTGATTAGTTAACATATCAGAAGTTTCAATATCATCTACATTATACTTTACAAATTTTGAGATTAGCATCCACAATTGTCCACTATTCTTACAATGTGTAAAATCAACTATACAGTAGAGCGTCGTTTATCCGAATCAATTGGAAACTGAGGTTGTTCAGATAACTTATTTTTCGGATAACCAATTATGTACGAAAAAATATATTAACCTATCCTGTGTTGAAATTTTTCTCCGTTGCCTGTCGCTTCGCGTTGAATTTTCGTCGATGTTAAGCCTAACATAAACTTTTTAAAATAATAATCGTGGCTATTGTATCGTTAAAATTATTTCTTTATTTTTTACAAACAAAATAAATATATTGAAAAATATAAAAACAAAAAAAGTTATACTTTAGAAGTTAATCTAGTATCAAAAAAGTTTGTTTCAGCATGACACACAGTCCTCGGAAAAACACCACACAAAAGTGCCAGTGCTGCCAGCTAAAACACACACATCAACAAAAAAAAATATTGGAGTAGTCCGAGATATAGCCAAAGATTGCAGCGCCACAGCACTAGCGAAAATTTAAATTTGCCGACTGGAATTCTTTTGGATAACCGACATTTCGGATAGCTGACTTTCAGATAAACGATGCTCTACTGTATTATTCAAAAATAATTAATTAATGACAATTTGCCAAATTTTGTTAAAACCCAGACATTTTTTGGTCTTCAACTGGATATCCAGACATAATGCAAAAACCAGACAAGTGGCAATACTTGGAACAAATGAAGCATTGTATCGGTGGGGATAGCTTAGTCGGATCACGGGAGGGATACAAATATATGACGGTCGTATCTGCGGTTTATTTTATCATAACCTGGAATATGCCTGTACAATAGTTTTCTTCCCAAACACATCAAAATTAAATAAAATAAAATTTACTAATTATTAAACGTTCTCAATGACAAAGTGTCCACTGATAATTTAAATTTGCACACATTAATTAAGTTTTCAGATTCTAACATCAATATCAACAGAGTATTTAGTATTCAGTGTTTATTATACACTAAACCTTTATCACAAATATTAATCTTCAAACATATCTCTTCATATTCAATATAAGTATTTATTAGGTAATGTTTTGAAGGATATCATATGTTGCTCAGATGAATTTAGATTTAGTAAGGAAAATAGATCTTATAAAAATTACTTATAAATTAATTAAAACTTTTCATACCTTATTGTTTTTATAAAATAAATACAAAAAAATTTAACAAAAACAAAAATTACAACAACATACCTTTCCAATACTTTCACCCTTCTCTTTCCTTTTCAACATATGACCTTTATGAGCAACTTTACTAAAAATCTTTTCAAGCTAAAGCAAGCATACAAAATTAATACATATTAAAATGCTTTTCAAATTAATAATANGTATTAAAAAATAGAAAAATATATGTATATATATATATATATATATATATATAGAAATCTTTTAATTTCAGTAGTTAAATGATATAAAACCAAATTGCATTTTGAATAGTTAAGTTTAATTTATAATTCAATATTCACTCTTTAATTTTCAGCTCTAATTAATTCATTTTCATTCAATAATTGGTACCAGTATTATTATATAATATTTAAACAAAGATAGCAGTTATGTTCTAAATACATTCAAATTTTAAATTAGATGCAGTCATATTTCAAAAAAATTTTCTTTATGTTTCTCATAAAATATTTTAAATTATTTTTTCAGTTGGAATTACATTAAATATGCTATTCAGAAAAAATGTAAACAAATTTCAATGTATTCTTGGATTCATGTTGCATGTGCAAGAGTAGAATTAAATTGTAAATTAGAATGCATCTGCTTTCATCTAATAATAAATATGTAGTTATTTTTTACAGAATTATCACAAAGACTGGAGATAAGCAGAAACAGAGTAGGCAAAAAAATACCGATTTTCTGTAAGCTTTATCCAGACATGAAAAAAAGTCAAACATCATTACATATCTTGTGACTTCTTGTTTCAAATAAAAGTGAATTTACAAAATCCTAAATAAACAGAGAAAAATTGAGACAGCAGTAAAAAGTTGTTAGGTCAACCAAAGGTGTAATTGAACAACAAAGACAAGCACAGTCTTATGCCTACCTCCAATATCAAAGGTGGTCTCAGTTATAACTTGTTGACCAAAAGATATGGAATATCAGACAAATCTATGAAAAAGATAATGAAAAATACATTTATTGACCCAATCTCACCACTGCTCACTATGCATATCAGACTTATGCAAAGCAAATTGAGTTGGACATCAATTTTGTGCCAGAAGAAAACAATCTTCCTAAATGTATCTCAACTTTGACCAATTGAACTTGATAAGCCAATATTGGCTTATCAAGAACTGGGAAGCCAATATTGGCTTATCATATAGAACTGGAGCCGTATTCTGGTCACTTATCTCTCGTCTCTTCTTTCACTGACAAATGATGTCAAAGCAAGAGATTATTTAGTCTCATACACAGTGGCGATTCTGGTCGTTTGTAATGATCTTGTCTTTGTTGTTGACGTCATGATTCTATTTGGTTGATTATACATGTTCAGGTTATCTGTGAGTGCAACACGGTATAGAATTTTAACCAATTGAAATTGTAAAATTTTTGAAAATGCAGAGTATGTAATCATAGATCACATGTTCAAATAAACCATGTAATTTTGACAAAGTTATGTTTTTTTTTTTGTTTTATAACATTTTTAGATTGTAATGTCAATTTGTCTCTTAACAAATAAAAATTTTAATAACCTAAGTTAGAAAAGCATGCATTGTGGTGTAATTTTTTCTGCATACTTAGATATTTTTCGAAATATTACCATCTAATTGCTCCTTAACTATTTAAGTAAGATTAACATCATATTCGATAGTTCAGTAATTGATGTAGAATAATTAAGAAAAAAAAAAAAAAAATGGAATCAGTGGAGTTTCAGAGTAGGCACTGGAAAACAATCAGAAGCATTTTCTCTCTCGAAATATTCTTTCCTGAGATAGAGAATGTTTTATAATGCGATTGTACAGCACGAGTAGCATCCAGTTGTCCATATTGGATATAACAAAATTGAGGCTTGTCTCTGATAAACGAGAGAAGCAAAGAGAGAAAAAGTTGTCCAGAATTACATCTAGAGAGATGCAATGATCTCTCGAGACGTAACAAATGATTAGCCAATCAGTGACCAGCTTGTGAGAGATGAGAGACGATGACCAGAATACAGCTCTGGTCTGTCTATTCCAGTGTTTCTCAACCTCTAATGAATCGTCGCCCCCTTCAACGTAGTATCGCCCCCTTTACTTCAAAATTCCTATGCCGAGGGCCAAGACTAACGTCAAATTCGTAGAATAGAACATTATACTAGTCACTAGTCTATTCGCATTGAATAGACTAGTGACTAGTATAATGTTATTTGTTTAATTATTGTACAATATAACGAATAAAATATCTAATTATTCTTAATATAATATTTTACTATATCGCCCAGAAAATTGTTTTTCGCTCCCAAAATATAAATTGTTACTAATCGCCCCTCAACACGGAAAAACTCCCACATGGGGGCGATATCGCCCCCATTGAGAAACACTGATCTATTCCAATGGATGACATGCAAAATTAAATCAGGGATTGATTAACAAGATGAAGAAAAAATTAGCTGAAGTTCCAAACAGCTACATGCTAAATTTCATGTCAAGTCCTAACAGCTATTGGCCAAATCTCATGTTCAGAGTTCATTCTAGAATTTATTGAACTGCTAAACAAAAGGTCCTCAGTAAATTTTGTCTTAGAAATTTTTTGAAAATATATTATGCTATTCACATGAGTAGTCTCATTATCTTGCATTAAGTTTTTAATAAATTATACTTCATAATGAATTTGCATGTCTTTTCCAAATACCATGTACTGGAATATGTACATTTTATTTATTTATTTATTTAAAAATAAATAAATAAATAAAATGTTTTTTTAAAAAAAAATTCAACTTATAATTTTAGTAGTAATTTAGAAAGTGACAACTAGAAAGAAATATATTTAATGACATTTATATAAAAATTTCTGGACTGAGGGTAACCTCATGCAAATGCCCAGCAGACTGAAGGGGAGGGGTGTTTTTTGTTATTTAAAAAAAAAATCATAAAAAACTAATAATAATTATGTCATATCTTGAAATTTGTTTCTTTGTATTTTCTGTAACATGAAATAATTAACAGAATAATGATTAAAAAGAAAAAAAAAAGCCTTTTTTTAAATTTAAAAAAAGTCTGACACCAACTGGGTTAAAAAAACATTTTATTTGGCACTTAGTTTGGGGCCAACACAAGCTTTCAATTGTATTTCTGACCTGGGATTATCATTTATAAATGTAAACCTTAATCAACTGATAACTTTTTGTATGCAGAAATTTTATAAAACATGAAAATGTTAAACAATGCATGATGCTTTAGCAGTGAAAATAATAAATTTTTCATTAAGCATACTTCCTACATCAATTATAGATGAGTCTAAGCCAGGGGTGGCCAACAGGTTTTGCCACCGGGCCGAATTGGAAAGAAAACTTTTTTCACGGGCCGAACCAGAGGCTGCCCTAGGAAGATTTTGAAGTGGTGCAAGATCTCATTGTGGTGTCACCCCGTAGAGACTGAATTGTACATAGAGATTACAGATACATTTTTCACATTATCATGCTTTATCAACATTCTACGCTGTACTTAAGAGATTTGTAATGGAGGGTTAACTCTAAATGCACAGTGAGTTTGTTGACCTTTTTTTTTTTTATTATTTAGGCATCAGAATTTTTCATTGAGCTATTCAGACTTGAGTAGCTAATATTGAAAGATTAATTGCAGCTCGCATAAATTCATTAGACAGGCTAAACCTGGCCCGTGGGCCGTATGTTGGCCATGCCTGGTCTAAACCATATAGCTCCATCAAATAACATAAAACTGAACATGTGAGATTTGTCCTTCAAGTTTTAGAGAAAATTGGCTTGACAAACAAGACTCATCCATAGACCAAAATGTGTTAAATTGATTCCTTAATATGGGATTCCTAAAATTAGGCTATTCACTTTATCAGATATGTGGGTTATTTATTTAAAAAAATTAAATTTTAATCCATCAAAATAGATCAGGATTTTAAAAACATTGGAGAATGTAGTTAAACATTTGGTATCATTTCTCACAAACATATAAATAGATAATCATCAGTCCAATTGATTGATTGCTTGCCAGTGGCGAGTTGTATAGTGAGGATCAACTTTAATTCAGTTGGAATTTAAAACCTGCATATAACCTACACCCCTTTCAAATTATTTTTCAAATATATCCCCGAGGGATTATCTGCATGAAATTACAGTAGTTCACAATCTTTCAATGTCAAAATTTAGATTAAGAGCTTTTCTATGCAATGTATGAAATCAAAAATGTTAATGTCCTAACATAATAAGTGTCTATTATACACATTAAAAATAGTAGTAGTTCCAAAATTTTATTTAAAGTTCTTAATTGACTCAATATATAAAATCATTCTCTACTGGTAGAAGGTGCTAATCTTCATTAAAAATAAAATTATAAAAATAAATAAACACTAAATAAATTAAAAAATAAAAACTTTTAATTCCATACAGAATGTATTTTCTTCAAACTCTTTTCTCTCATAATTTTATTTTTCTTCAAAATTAACAACTTCCAATTTTTAGCTTTGCAATTTTATTTACTGAGCTAACTGATAAATTTAAATGAAAGATACAAATTGCTAATTTGAATTTGCCAAATGCTATTATTCAGCATTAAATGTCTCCTGCAACACTTAAGTGTTTAGAATTTAATTTTTATAGAAATATTTTTAAAAAATAAAAATGTAATATAATACAAATTTTTATTTTTAGTTTGAATCTGAATCAAAATTAGACATTAACTATATCATTTATCATAAAAAACTAATATGTATATATTTCTAATGACAAAAACAATTAACTAAAAATCATTAAAAATTTTCTATCAAATGTTATATTTTTTATAAATAAATTTTAAAATTATTACATGTACTATCACATTATTATTTAAGAAAAATTAACTTGATGTATAACATGAATTTTTTTCACTTACAAAATTCCTTTCTGATACAGAATAGAGCCCAACACTTTGTGCAGTTTTCCTAAAGTATGACACTACAGTGAGGTGTAGAACCTAAATCAGTTGTCAATAATAAATGTGCAAAAATAAAAGAAAGACAGCATAGAAAAACAGAAAATAAAACAATAATTAAATTGAAAACAACAGGTAAATTTAATTGAAAAAAAAAACAGCAAAAAATATTTTAAATTTAAGAAATTG